AGTCATCAATTTCGTTCCCACACAGATTAATGGATAGTTATCTATATGAACGGGGGTGTGACATATAGATATGAAAATATATGAATTAAAGTACAATTTTTAGGTGGATAAATATCATGTTATTCACTTGTAGAATTAAATATAAGGAAAAAAAATGTCTTTTAAGTTTCAAAACCACAAAATAACAAATATATTTATGAACTGCATAATAAAATTTATATCAATAAAATACAACGGGAATACTAATGAATATGATAATAAATTATAAATATATAGTTGTAGTATAATTATGAATATTAATTATGTAAGCATATTTATATATAAGTTATATTTTATTAATTTATATCTTAAATTAAATATTAATGAAAAAAAAAATTGAAGGTGCAATGAGCAAAGCCGAACCTGTGACACCGACCAACTTTACAAACAGGCCTAGGATTCACGAAGAAAATTGAATATAATTAAGATCATTATTATTTATTGCAGAGGCAATTATTTTATTTAATGAAGCAGCGATAATAATTAATACGACATTATTGCACAAATGGGGAAGTTGGTGAACGAATTCATTAAAGTTTTTGGCAATTGTTAGTATTAAAGAATAACAAAAATTATATGAGAAGTTCACAAAAAAGTTGAAAGTGTAGGCTTCATGGTTTTTTCAAAGTCTACTATACGTACAAGGAAGTTGACCATATTCACATATCTAACACCAAAAATTATTTTCTAGTTTTGCAATGAATAAATCTCCGTCCTCAACCCGGAACAGGGAGCATCTTTCTTTGTAATTGTCTTCAGTGAAGTAACAATAAGATTTATTAACATTATAAGAAATAATTTTAATTTTTATTTTCACATAACGCCATATTCACATTTTTTTTTTTTTTTTTTTTTTTTTTTTTTTTTTTTTTTTTTTTTTTGCACAAGTCTTCAATGATTTTTTCTTGGGGTTTAATTTTACGAAAGAAATGTAAAATACAACTTTAGTTTAATGTTTTTACTTATTCTATTAATTAAACTTATTTTTCTAATAAAAAAAACTAATTTTTACTCTATGAAAATATATTTTTAAACACAACCAAACATGATAGAAGTAGTGGACAGATCCATAATATAAAAATTTAAGAGAAAAAACAAATTCTGCAAAAAGATAGAAGAAAACGGTAATCACAAGATCTACCAGTTCTTCTGCTTCAAGCCCCAAAACCCCACCCCACCCTATAATCACAATAATAGGCAGCTGTATTGCTATATACATGCTAAAACAAGTCAACAACAAATTCCCAATAAATTTAAAGTCGACTACATGAATCATTTTATGCCCGTGTTCAATAAATATATGTATATGAAGCTCACCATCTAAAGGTCGACTTTCCTCTTGCACTTCTGTTCTTGAATTGCTCTGGTTGTAATATTAATACTCACAGTACAATTCATCTTCACAGTAACATGTTTCTTAATGATATTGATTATCTTCACTCGTCCACCTACTATAGTATAACTGTCGATAGCAATCAAACCAGAACTTATATCAGCACCCAAACTAGGGTGTGACAGAATTTTATCAGCAATAATATCTACTGTTATATTCATACGCGTCGTTCGTCGTGCCTTCGACTTCCCGGGTGGACCCCGGGCATCTCCGATCACGGTCCCATGGAAGAAAAGAGTGGTGGTTGTGTTCGGGTACTTGAAGGACGCATAGTTAGGATTCTTGACGGAAATATCTGCCGTTATGGACATGTTGGAGCCGGGCCGGGGCAGTGGCATGGTTGCGTTGATTGGTTCGATTTTCGTGATGATAACGTTGTTCATTCTTATGATGGGGTCTTTAATTTTGAATACTGTGAAGATTAAGATGAGAACTACGGCTGCTTGAATGAGGAGAACGGCTGATATGCAACCGCAGCACTTGATGCATCTTCTTTTTTTGAGGTTTTTGACGTTTTGTAGGGCGGTTTCTTCATCGTCACTGCTAGTTCTTTCAGACGCCGGGGCTAATGGCCTAACTTGCTCTCTTTCTGCCATGGTTGAAGCTTCGGTTGGCCGTAGCCGCCGCGGCGGTGGAGAGGGGAATGGGAGAGGAGATGTTTTGGGGTTGCTAGAAATTGTATGTACTAGTTTATTATATATATTGTTGCTAGGGCCATCTGTGTTGACATTTTCGAACTAATTAGTTTAAAAAATTAGGGGTTGTTTGAGCGAATTTATCTCAAAAAACGCATTTTGAAATAATTTTATGATATAGAATGTATGGTTGAAAAATTTGAAAAAAAAAAATTAGATTTACTAATAATATTATTTTATTGAAAAATGTGATTGAAATGATATCAAATCACTGTTGAAAAATGTATTTTAATAAAAAAAATGGGGCTCAAACAAGGGCTTAAGCTATTGGAGAGTGTTGGATTTTATACACAATAATAGAGATGTGAAAGAGATAAATCAATAGAAATATTTAACATGGTATGGCGATTTGTCTATGCCCAAGAGGAGTGAAGCGGAAGCATTTATAATAATCCTAGCCCAAGCTCATACAAGATTTTAGAGCCCGTGCAAGAAAATGTTCATATACCAGACTGTGAGGGAACTCCCCAACCTATTTAGCATCCCTGACAAACAGATAGTAAATTAAATCCCATAAAGCCGATGTCATCACTTTGCTCCATTTCGTTCGGTACACTCTGCTCTGACAACGACCTGCTTGATTTAATAATATGTGTTCTGCTCTATATGAATCACATACAAAAAAATAATAATAATAAATAAATAAATTTATGAATTTAAATTATACGTTAAACATGCCGTTTCACATTCACATAAGATACAAATATTCTTAAAAGATGAAGTATATTATTTCATGACAATGTCACAACGATAGGCTTGCAAAATATTTATTTGTTCTAATTTCATGTTGAATTTTTTATTTATGCAGTTAGAGATGCAAAAAATAAAAATAAAAATAAAAAATTTGTTTATTTAAATTTTATTTAACAATATAAGTTTAAAGTATAGTGTCGTGCAAATTTATTGCAGAAATTTAAGTCATCTTTTGTTGCTTTGTGGTGGGACTGACATAAGTGGAAATTTATAGCCTCCTTTTGTTGACTTCCAAATGCTCCATTAATTCATACTTATGCATCACGAAGTAGCCATGAACATTGGGAAAATTTAATTATAAAATGCAGAAGTAATGTTACCTTTCGAAGACTTCTTTTGCATTGACCATTCATATTCAACTTCAGTTTTCGAAAGAGTTGCTTATAATTTTTAGTCAAAATCAAATTTAAATTTTAATCATAAATTAATAATTAGGATATCTTTATATTTACACATTTCATGAAATTCACTACTATTTAAATTATAAATTGGTTATAAGTAACTTATTAGAAAATCCAAACACACGCAACATTTCTTTTCACAACTTTTTAACTGAATACAGGTCGTCATATATTTTCTATAGAATATAATAAAAGGACGAATTTCAAACATGCTTGACTTAGCTCAAAAAAGGTAAAGTTATTTATAAGTAATTTTTATCCATATTTTAGATAATTTATAATTTTCTAAGTAGAAGACCTAATTTGTTTAGGGTCCGTTTGATAGCGTCGTATTCCATAGAAAATGTCACATTTGAGGAATTCATTTTCTACAAAAACCTTGACTATTTGATACGAAAGTGAAAATAAGGTCCGAATTCTAATATATAAGCACTTAAAGCATGTTTTTGATCAATTCCGTGGAAATAAAATTCTTATGATTTTGGTGATTTTTTCTTTTCCAACTTACGTTCAATTGGTTTGTTTTTTTCACTTTTGCTATCAAACAGACCCTTAGAATAACCACCTTATCATCAAAATATATAATTTATTTTTTTCCCCCTAATTTTGACTAATAAAAATATTTATTTCAAAACTTATTTATTTCCTTACAAGTACTGGTTTAATTGAAAAGTAATAGTTGTTAGTTGCGGTTGGTGACTTAATAGCATAACTGTAATGGTAGTAGTATTTTAGTCAATGCCTTCACACACAATAATTAATGGTAACAATCACAATTCTACACTAAAGCAGTCACCAAATTTGATTTTATATGTATTCTAGAACATGGCACTATCAAAAATGTTTTTCAAACATTTAATCATACATTTGACAAATATGTATAAATTAAAGTTTTTTTTGCCAAGAATGTGACACACAATCCACTAAGATATTTTTATCCGCCGTGTTTGATCATTCTCCATTCCCACAAACAGGGGGAAATCCAGAAATTTGAGTCAATATGGGCGATGGTTAATTATCTTTTGTTGGCTGCAATAAAATATTAAGAGTCCATTTGATATCCATTTTTTGTAAAACAATGCATTTTGAAATAGTGATTTAATGAAGAATGTGTGGTTAAAAATAAAGAAAAATTTTGAATTTATGTGTAATATTATTTTATTGAAAAATATGTAGATAAAAAAAAAGAGAGAAAAAATGCATTTAAGAAAAATGAAAATCGAACAAGGCATAAACATAACAATTATTTTGTTCAAATTTAATATATATAATTATGTTATAAGAATAACAAGGACTCATCAAATGACATTATTGCCAAGTTTTGTATAATTCAAAGGAAGAGCTTGGATTCGAGTCTTTAGAATTATGCATTAAACTAGTTAAAACCTAACAAATATTATTTTGGTAAACTTAGTGACACAGTTGATGGAATACCATATTGGTTAAGTTTATAGCATTCCTTGCACAAGTTCATAGGTTCGAATCTCCTTTGTCCCTGTCCTTGTTGGATTTTGGTAAAAATTGTACTTTAAGAACAGTACACAACAATTTCGTTAGTGAGGGATTCGAACCCGAGACGTCAAAAATAAAAGTGCAAGCTCCAACCCACTAAGTTGCAACAAATGTTCAAAAACAAAATGAATCACCAGGAATATAATGTAATAATTTAATCTATTGTTAAAAAAAATTAATAATAATAATAATAAAAAAATTCTCCCAGTGGGTGACGAATTCAGCACTCATGGCCGTGGGTGCTCACTAGGTGTTGAATCCGCGCATGCCCACAAAGGAAAATAGTAATTAAATTCACATGCTTGACTAGTTTATTATTTGAATTGAATTTATTTGTTATTTTTATCAAATTGTAATGAGATTTATGACTTGTTATTTCTTTGTTATATGCTTGATAAGACTCATAAGAGTAATATATTATTGAATAATATTGAAAGAAAATGAAATTAAGATATTATCTATTCCATTGTACAAATTAATACGGTATGTAAAGATTTTTTATTTCCTCTTTATTGCCCAGTTATTTTACTTGGTTACTAGTTTTATTAATTTATTTAGGCTTGTACGCGGTTTGTTTCAGATCGATTTTGACTCCAACCCGAAATTAAAATTAAATTAGTCAATTTGGATGAATTTCAACCCAAAATAACTCACTCTAACTTTTAAACTGAACTTTGTTTCAGTTCGATTTGAACTTTTAGTACAGATTGATTTTTCTTTTTTGAAAAATTTGTCTGTGTTTTGGGCTTACTTAAATTACAAGAACTGAAATAATCAAATAATTTTATTTTACAAGAACTATTGACTAATAAATAAAATCAGGCCAATAGAGACGAATCAATCAAAAACTTAAGAATTTTGTTGATTTTTTATATATTATGTAGTTTGACTACCTGAGTAGAAAAAATATTAAGTATAACATAACGAGCTTGTGAAATAAAATATCCAATGCTATTATTTATCAGTAACATCATAAATTGAAGGGAATCGAAATACAATTATGAAATTAGGACTTATCTTTTGATTTTAATTTTTTATTTTTAATTAAAAAGGGTGAACATGTATATGGATTAGGTTGGTTGTTTAAGATTTCATGGCTGGCCACGGCAGTCCGGGACCATGATATCTTTTCCCAGGACACTTGTAAGCAATTAATAGTACCTACAGTTTCATAATTTATTCTTGATTTTCAACAATATTATTTATTTATAAAAATATATACAAATGACAGAGTTAGTCAACAAATAAATTTGACATATGTCCGTGTTAAAATTAATCGGTATAAGGTGTAAGTCTTTAACTATTTAAACTTTTAAATAGACTACTAACGGGATAATTACTAGATTGGTCACTAAACTTTGCGTAAGGTTTTCAGGGGTCTCTAAACTTCAAAAGTTTCTCTATTAGTCACTTAATTTTGCAAAATGATGGAAAAAGGAGAAAAGCTAAAGCAACCCATAGAACTGTCATCTGTTGCCTATTTGATCAAGACAACCTTGTTGGTTACCCCTAAAATTGTGAGGGGAGAGAGAGAGTAAAATAAATAAATATCGGTTAATTACCTAATTTGTTACTAAACTTTGCGTAAGGTGTTTTTGGTCACTGAACTTTATAAAATCTAATTCATTGAACTTCGGTAACTAACGGAAAACTTTTGAAGTTCTTAGTAATGGATATGACTACATTTTGTAAAATTCAGTGACTAATGGAAAAACTTGTGAAGTTCAGCGAACTTCTGGAATCATTTTGTAAAGTTCAATGACCAAGCTGAGTAATTATCCCACCATTAACAGTTTTTCAAGTGCATTTGGAGTTTATAATTAGAGTAATGTTATTTAGCCACTGGAGTTGCAATCTCAATTTAGGTAGCGCTAATGTGGCATTAATTGATAAGTAGAATTAAATAATTTATTTTTTACCTTTCATTTACCTATCATATAGTGCCATCTAAATTAAAGTTGCAATTCTAGTGGGGCTACGTAGCATTACACTTATAATCAAGGTCAAAAGCCTTTTAATGAGCTATAATGAAGTTTAAAAACTTTATCAATATAACTCTGGGGGCACGTGAGCTTAGCGTTTAAAAAAAAAAAAGGTTGAACCCCAACCTTGAGGGTCCCCACCACCTCGTCCCTAGAGCTTTGTGAGAGAGCTAAATCGTGGGATGTGCCCTAATAAGTTAGGGAACAAGAGCTGCATGTACGCTTACAAGGAATCTAATTTCATGTCTCAGGAATCGAACCTCCATCCTGCGGTTGCCAATAAGGCGTGAGATAACCTCACTCATGTCCTTCGCACAACTAAGCTATGCCTCAGGGGGCAAGC